GGCATTGCACGCCGGTGTTCCGGCAGCCGAAGAGAGAGAACCCTTTCCTCCCGCCTCGGTTGGACCGTTACGGTTAGACCGGGGCGGAGGGACGTACCCGCATCCACCCCATGGGGATCCTCCTCTCCCGTGGTGCCTGAGATGCGGAGGGGTGCTCCGGGCCGCTCGGACGTTTCCGAGGTCGGGGTCGGGGTACCCTACCGCGTCCTGAGAGATCCCACCCTCCGAGGCTTGCACGCCGGTGCTCCGGCAGCCGAAGAAGGGAGGACCTCTCTCCCTCGCTCGTCCCAGCCACGGCTGGGCGAATGAAGGATCCCACACCCGGGTCTGCACACCGTGGGACTATTCCCACGGTACCTGGAGGGTGGAGGGGATGTCCCGGGCCGCTCGGACTTATTCCGAGGTCGGGGTCGGGGCACCCTAGGGTGACGAGGGGAGAGGACCCCACCTTCGTCTCGAAGGTGGACTCCCCGACTTCCCTCACCCGTTCGGCCCCGGTCGAACGGACAGAGGAACCCACACCCGGGTCTGCACACCACAGGGCTTGCCCCATGGTACCCGGGGGGTGGAGGGGTGTCTCGGGCCGCTCGGACGCATTCCGAGGTCGGGGTCGAGACACCCTCATGCGCCAACCAGAGGACTCATTCCCGGAGGCATTGCACGCCTGTGCTCCGGCAACCAAAGGGAACGATCCTCTCCCTCATCCGTCCTGGCCACGGCCAGGCGGAGAGAGGTACCCACACCCGGGTCTGCACACCGTGAGGGTTTGGAACCCCTCACGGTACCCGGGGGGTGGAGGGGTGCTCCGGGCCGCTCGGACGTATTCCGAGGCGGGGCCGGAGCTCCTGTGTGCTGTGCCCGAGGGAATGCGATCGCATCACCCTAAAGCGGACCCTCGGGCGGCGCGAGCACGCTGGCTGCCATGGGGGAGACGTTCCCGGTGGGGTGCGACACCGGTGAACTATCTCCTTCCATGGGGCCCCCCGCGTGGCGGCGCTCTGCACGGTGCCCACATTGTCGGAGGTGTGGGACCCCCGAAAGCGGTCTGGCCACCAGAAATGGCGGTCAGGGCGCGTGTAGGGGGCGGGAGGCCAGTGCCGGCGATATAATATTCCGTCGGCCCGTGCCATATGGTGCTCCTCCGGGGGAACTCGGAGACTCCCCCTTTCCGGGGGGATGCGGGCATGCCCGGGCACCGGAGCCGTGCAGAGTTGTGGGTTAGAAACCACCATGACAGACTTTTTATCCTCATCAAACAATGAATCATCGGACTCGGACATAAATATGACGACCCAGACTAGGACAAAGGACACGAGAAGCCGGACTGGCAAAAGCCAGGTAACGGCAAGGAGGGAGGGGCTACGAAGCGGAAAGTCCCAAGAAACGAAGAAGGCTGAAGAGATCGAAGATAGCGACCGATCTCGATCGCCTCTTAGGGTCGATGATTCGACGCCATTCGCCACCTCCAAAGAGGAGGACTCGGACGATGGTGAGAAAACTGTCCAAAAGAAAAAGGAAGGGAAGTGGGAAATCCCCAGAGACGAAGACGGAAATACGGACGAAGAGCGTCTCATAGAGAAGGCCACCAGAGGCAGGGGCAGGCCAGAAACGACAGGGGGATACCGACTCAAAAAAGAGTTCATGGCCAGAAAGCAAGTCATTATGGAACAAAAAAGGGAGGAATTCCTGCTGAAGGGCATGGAAAACCCTCTCGAAGAGTTCCAGAACTGCACTTCCAACAGGAAGTACAAGGCCGAAATTAAAAGACTAACGGAACACCTAGAGGAGGCCCCCTTCCGGGACATTACGGCGACGATTCTGGAAGCATCAACAAAGGTACTTGGATTCTCGCAGAAGTCAAAGAGCTTGAAGGGCACCCACGTCAAGGTCCTCAGAGACACCGCAGCTGCCATAACAGCGGGAGCAAATGTGATGGCCATGCAAATGGCACAGGACAAGTGCGGTAACAATCTGGACCTTATTGAGAAACTGCGGACGGAAAACGCTAACTTAAAAACGTCGCTGAAGGAGGTGAGGAAGGAGCTGGAGGAAGTAAAGGAGATGCTCCTTTACTTCCTCCAGCTGGAATAAGGGTGTATAAGGGTGGAATAAGGTGGTATAAGGGAGGCGCCGCTTCATGTAGCGGTATCCTCCCCGCCCTCGAAGCACTCAGGAAACGCGGGCCAGAGTGTAAAAGAAGCACCACAGCGTGTGCCGAGTGCTCCCTCGCTCCTGATCCGCGTAGAGAGGGAAAGGGCAATAACTCCACCCATGGTGAACATGATGGAGGAGGAGGAGGCACCGATAGGTGTTATCGAGGTGCAGAAGGGGTTGATCCCAGGGGATAGGAGACGCCCGGTGAGGGAGAAGAACGAAGCCAGGGTCGCTAAGAAAATAGAAGTAGGCCCCAAGATCAGGGAAGATGTCCTCCTGAATACAAAGGTTAGGGTGGAAAGAAGGGAGGAGTCAGCGAAAGGAGGGGAGAAAGGATTGGGAGACGAAATATCGAAGATGGTGTTAAAGGCTCTAAATGACTGGACATCACAGAGAAAGGAAACTCCCAAACAAGGGGCTGGGAAGAACAAAGGAAACAAAGGAAAGGGGATGGAGAAAGAGTCGGGCGATAAAGGGATGGCACAATATGGGGGAAACAAAAGCATGAGAGAATACCCCCCACTTCCACCCACGAGAGTGCAAAGAAAGGAACAAGCACAACGCGACAGGGAGGAGGTACCTACACCACAACAAGAAGTGTGGACGAAAGTCGTAGGTAGGAGAGAAAAAAAGAAGGAGAAGGAGGAGCAGAGGAAGCAAGAGGTAAAAAAGGTGGTAAAAGCCGAAAGAAAGGAGGGAAGGGGGGCTAGGAGAAGAATCCCCAACACAGCGGCGGTAACGAGAACAGCCGACAGAGGACAGTATAAGGATCTGCTTGCGGAGGCGAAAAGGAAGATTAATCTCACTGGGATCGGAATCGAAAAGATCAAAACCAGAGTGGGGGCTACCGGAGCTCTAGTATTGGAGATACCTGGGGAGGAAAGAGGGAAGCAGGCGGACATGCTTGCAGAAAAGTTGAAGGAAGTCCTAACTGACAGAGCCAAAATCAGCAGGCCGCAGAAAATGGGAGAACTGCGGCTAAAAGGAATGGAGATATCCACCTCTGAGAGTGAAGCGGCGGAGGCAGTGACAAGAGTAGGAGGATGCCAGGTGGGGGACGTAAAAACCGGAAAAATAAGAGAGGCCTGGAACAACTATAGAACGTTGTGGGTACAGTGCCCCCTTGCGGCAGCGAAGAAAACTGCCGAAGCAGGAAGTATCAGAATAGGTTGGACATTCACTAAAGTGGAGCTATTGCAGGCGAGAGCATTGCAGTGTTTCAAATGCCTAGAGAGAGGGCATGTGCAGGTTAACTGTAAAAATAATAATGATAGACGAGCAAACTGCTACAGATGCGGAGAACCCGGACACCTGGCTCGGGACTGTAAATCCAGAGTCAGGTGCCAAATTTGTGCAGAGGTGGGCGTCCAGTCGGACCATAGGATGGGGGGGCCATCTTGTCGTCCCCCCAAGAGAAAGAAGAGAATCCCTGGGGATGCGGTGGAAGGGGGTATGGCGACCGCACCGCCGCCACGAGACCCTCCCGCATCCTCAGAGGAGAGGAGGAAGGAGACCGAGGAAGGAAAAGAGGTGGAGGGGGGGGGTAAACCGGGAGCCGGAACCCCAACCTCCGCTTCCTCAAAGGAGGAGAAGAACCTCCCTCCCTCTTCCACCTCCCCCTCAGACCCCAATTGATGATGGGAAGATGGAGGTGGAGGAGAAGAGAGCAGAAAAAAGAGCGAGACCGGCTGAGAGTGAGGACACCGACGGCGAACAGCCGGGAGAGAAGATAGTTGTCATAACAGAAAAGGACAATGGACACTAAACTGTTACAAGGAAACCTGCACCGCGCCCGTCAAGCGCTCCCTTTGTTCGAGCACACAATGACGGAGCGCGGTGCAGGCTTAGGTATAGCGGCAGAGCCCCATCATGTCCCCAGAAACCATAGATGGTTCGGGGACGAGGTGGGCTCTGTCGCTATAGTCTGGAAGGCGAGCGACAGCTCACCCCCTGCCAAGTACTTGGATCGAGGTAGGGGGTTCGTTGTGGCCAGATGGGGAGTCGTCACCGTGGTCGGGGTATACCTCCCCCCAGAAAAGAGCCTGGGCTTGGTTGATTACAAGTCCAGGCTCCAAGAAATGGGAGATGTCATCAAGAGACATCTCCCGGGTCCTGTCATCGTCGCCGGCGATTTCAACGCCAAGTCGGAGCTATGGGGCTCCCGGCGCGATGACAGGAGGGGGGAGGTAACAGCGGATTGGGCCGTGGGCCTAGGTCTGCACATTATGAATGACGGCAAAAGATCTACGTTCGTGGGGTCGAGGGGGGAGTCTATTATCGACCTGTCCTGGGCGACCCCCTCGGCCCTGCGAAGGGTGCGGACCTGGAGGGTGGCGGAAGAGCTAGAATCACTGTCTGACCATCTCTTAATAGAGATGGAGCTCTCCGTCACCCCCGATGGCCTACGGCCCCGCAATACGGACGGACCCCGGCCCGGTAGATGGGCTCTAGCCCAGTTAAACAGGGAGGACTTGGAAATCTCCCTGATGGGCTCCACCTGGCCACAGTGGAAGGACGGGCAGGACCTTGACTCTGAGGTCATGGAGGTTATGCAGGTTCTCGCACTCGCGTGCGATGCCTCCATGCCCAGAGTCAGGGCCTGCCCAAAACGATGCGCCTGGTGGTGGACCGGCCAAATTGCCGTGTTGCAGCGGAGGTCGGTCCACCTGAGGCGTGCGTTCCGGGCAGTGCGCCGGAACGATGACCCTGAGGTCACTCTGGCCGCCCGGCGGGAGTTCTGCGCAGCAGCGAAAGAACTCCGGAACGCCATAGGGGTGGCCAGAGGAAAGGGGTAGGACGACCTCCTCCTCTCGTTAGACGCGGATCCGTGGGGGCGCCCATACAGGATGGTGATGCAGAAGCTGAGACCATGGGCGCTCCCTCTGACGGAGACGCTCGACTCCCGGTTCCTGGGACGGGTGATGGGGACCCTATTCCCGGTTGGGGGGGACAACCCCATCACCCCGTACGTAACCCCATCCTCCGAACATCAGGGGGAGGTTCCGGGAGTCACCGAGGAGGAGGTGGCCGAGGCTACCAAGGGGGTCAAGAGTAGAAAAGCTCCAGGACCCGATGGTATCCCCGGCCGTGTCCTCACCCTAGCCTCAGGGTACATGAGCGGCACGTTTGTGCACCTCTTCACGAGGGCATTGAGGGAACGGAGATTCCCCCCAGTCTGGGGGAGGGCCAACGTGGTCCTCCTCCGAAAAGAGGGCAAGCCGGAGGATTCCCCCTCCGCGTACCTGCCCATATGCCTCCTGGATGAGGCGGGCAAGCTCTTCGAGCGCATAATAGCAGCCCGCCCCAAGAGGCATATGTCCCGGGAGGGTCCTGATTTAGGCGACGGCCAATATGGCTTCCGAGAGGGCAGATCAACTGTGGATGCAGTGTTGCATCTAAAGTCCCTCTCGGGGGCCATAGTGTCGGAGGGCAGGGTGGCAGTCGCGATATCTTTGGATATCGCGAATGCGTTTAACACCCTGCCCTGGGATAGGGTGGTGCAAGCGATGAGGAGCTATTTCCGCTTCCCACCCTACCTCACGGCCGTCGTGGAGGACTACTTCCGGGGTCGGCGTCTCATATGGACGGACGCCGATGGCACGGTGCGAGAGAGGGGGATGAGTCGTGGGGTCCCACAGGGTTCTGTGTTGGGACCCCTACTCTGGAACATTGGGTACGACTCAGTCCTCCGGACAGCCCTCCCCCCCCGGCTGTAGCACGTTGTGTTACGCAGACGACACGCTCGTCCTGGCCGGGGGGAGAGACTGGGGGGAAGCCGTTCACACCGCGAACCTAGCGGTGGCTGCGGTTATGCGCTCCATCCGCAACCTGGGCCTGGTGGTGGCGGAAAGGAAGACCGAGGCGATCTTCCTACACGCCAAGGGCATGAAGCCACCCCAGGCCCATGTCAGGATAGGCCAAGTCAGGGTCCCCATAGAGGCCCAGATGAAGTATCTGGGCCTCACCCTGGACGGCACCTGGTGCTTCAGAGAACATCTTAACAGACTGGTCCCCCGACTCAGGATGATTTCCATCAACCTGGGCAGGTTAATGCCCAATGTCGGGGGACCAGACATGAAGGCACGTCGCCTCCACGCAGGAGTCCTCAACTCGGTGGCCATGTACGGAGCACCGGTGTGGGCCGAGTCGCTGGCCGCCAGTCGCCCGATGCAAGCGCGATTGCGCAGAGTGCAAAGGGGGCTAGCGGTCCGGGTAGCGAGGTGCTACCGTACCGTCTCCTGTGTGGCGGCGACAGTCCTGGCGAGCATGCCCCCTATGGAGCTCGTGGCCCTGTCGTACAAACGCATGTACGACAGGAAGCGCGAGCTCCTAAGAGCAGGGGGGCGGACGTACCGCTCGCCAGGGCAATCCGGGAGATGAAGCACCAGACTCGACGGATCCTCCTCGAAAGATGGCAGAGGTATCTGGCCAATGCCAGGTACGGGAGGAGGACCGTCGAGGCCGTCCGGCCCTTCCTGCTCGAGTGGGTGGGAAGGGCCCTGGGGCCCTAACTTTCAGGGCGGCACAGGTGCTCACCGGGCATGGTTGCTTCGGTGAGTACCTGTGCCGAATCGGGAAGGAGCGCTGAGCTTCCTGCACCACTGCGGACACGACCATGACTCCGCGCAGCATACACTCCAGGACTGCCGCGCCTGGAGTGCTGAGTGCGGAGTCATGGTCAGGGCCTTGGGCCAGGACCTTTCGCTCTCTGGGATAGTCAGAGCGGTCCTAGGGAGCGAGAGAAAGTGGGACGCATTCTCCTCCTTCTGCGAGTCTGTGATGTCGCAGAAGGAGGAGACAGAAGAGATGCGCAGAAGGGCGGAAGGTCGGGGACGGAAAAGGAGAAGGCGAGATAGGCATCGCCAATGGAGGGGGGGAGGAGCGGGAGTAGGGAGGGGGACGCAGATTCCTCCGAGGAGGAGTTAAGGAGGATGGTGGGTCTACCATCTCCCCCCTCCCCCTCCTGCTTTTCCCCCCCCGGTGCCAGTGAGGAAGGATCCGTGGGAGACGCAATGCCCCCAGAGGAGTCCGAAGAGGACAAGGGGTGAACGAAAACAAGAGGGTGGCGGTGGTGGTGTTGCGGCGACTGACCCCCATGATGATGGCGGCGGCGCTGCTGACCGCCCCCCCGCGGTAACAATGGCGGTGACACCGCCGCCACTCCCGGCTGCCTTCCCTACAGCAGCAGCAATGGGAGATAGAAGCGGGTGGGGGACGCGGCTTAGGTCGAGGCCCCACACCCATAGACCACCGACTCCCCTGAAAAAGGGAGTCGGATAGGAATAAGGGGGGGAGAGGGTGTCGATGAGGATGATTCATCATCGAACAAAACACCCCTCCCCCCTGACCGTAGATCCGACAGTTAAGTCGGATATGCGGGAGGGGGGTCACTAGGACCCCCCATCCCATTCCTCTGCGGAGGTGGGAAGAGCCCGGCGGCTAGAGGAGCTTTCCCCCCGTAACCGCCGGGCGGGAGGGTGGGGTACCGGGCGGGGACTCCCGGTGCCCCAACCAGCCCTCCCAACGTAGGGTGGCTGGCTGATACGGTGGGTCAGTCAGCCACACAACATGTACTGGCGGCGCCTCATCTGGTCAGGAACGGTGGTCGAAGCGAGCCTCGGCCGGCTTCCCCCTTCCTGACCGAAGAGATGAGGCGTGAGGGGTGGGAAAGCGGAGCGGTGGGCGAAGCGAGCCCTCGGGCGGGCTTCCTCCCTCCCCTGGGGGAGCGGTGGTCGAAGCGAACCTTCGGGTTGACTTCCCCCCTCCCCCCTGGCCCTCAGGGACAGAGGGCATAATGCCTGGACTAGGGGCCCCGATAAGCAGTTACGCGGCTCCGGGGCCTCGATGCCAATCCCTTTGCAATCCCTTCGCAGCGCAACCTGGGGAGGTTTTAGCCGGTAGGAGTCCGGCATAACCCTGGCCCTTCCCCGAGGGTCAGGGTATCCATGATGGATTTCCTCCTCGTAAAAAAAAAAAAAAAAAAGTTTCGCCCGGCTTCTTTTCAGCAGCTCATAGTGCACGATTCCTTTCTGGTCCTAACAAACGCAGAGCATTGTCTTCTTTCCGAAGCGATTTGGCCGTGCCGTCGATGTTGATGCTTCGCCAGGTGAAAGCCATGATTTTTTGCGTTTGGGATTCTCGAAATGTATCCACTTCTCATCGCCAGTAATAATTCGATGCAGGAAACTCTTTCTTTCATGTCGCAAAAGCAAAATTTCGGAAGTGGCTCTTCGATTTTCCATCTGTCTCTTAGTCAACTCATGCGCCACCCATTTTCCTTCCTTTTGAATTTTTCCCATGGCATGTAAACGTTTGGAAATACTTTGATCATGTTTAATGTCTCCGCAAGTTGATCTTGTGTTTGCGTATCAACTTCATCCAATAACGTTTGCAGATCGGCTTCCTCAACTGTTTTTGGTCTTCCGGAGCGCTTCTTGTCCTCAGTGTCGAAATCGCCACTTCTGAAGCATTTAAACCAATCTTCACAAGTAGTTTTCGATTATGCATGTTCGCCGTAGGCCTCCTCGAGCGAACGACATGCTTCAGCTGCACTTTTTTTCTAGTTAAAGCAGAAAAGTAAAGCTTCCCGCAAATGCTGTTTATTTGGCACGAAACTCGACATCTTCGTTGTTAGAAAAAATATTTTTGCGTTGCGATATGTGTTGGTATTACGACTGGTTATTGTTAATAGGATACCTATTATGGAACTCGTCGGAATCGATTCCGATCGGAATAATTCCGTTTCCCCTAGAAAAGACAATAGAAATCTAGAAAATAATGGAATAAATTCGATCGGAATCGATTCCGACGAGTTCCATAATAATCTCCAAGCTATAAAAGAAACATAACTTCAGATATGTATGTCGACTACATGTGTCGTTAGCACCATCCATGTGTGAAACCCGGAAACTTAGTTGCGCGCCTAGTATAAATGAGTATTTTTAATCTTCTTTTATGTTTTAAAATGGCGGCGCTATGGACTGACGGATGAGTGCATTTTTGTCATCTGCGTACATTCTGTTGATTTCTTTATTGATCTGAAACATAATAAAAGCAAAATATCAAGATTTAGACCTCTTTTTCTTCTATTTAAACTAAAATAATATTCAAAAAGACTCGAATTGAAAAAATGACACGTTTTTTAAACAAAAATGCTAATTTCTGAATAACAATTTGTTTAAAAGAAATAGGACTTTTACAATAATTTTTAAAAACAAGATAGTTGACATAGAAGTGAATATTGTTAGTAATATATATGCGAAATTCCAGCAAGGTCGGTCGATTAGTTTTTGAGATATTTTGTACGCAAATAAAAAAATGCAGTTCTGAGATAAAACCGTTTAAAGTTTTGAAAAACGATAACTTCGTGATTTTTTTAACTTACCGCCTATTCAGCGATTCCAGGGCCATATAAAAGTCCTTCAAATTGTTCGTAGGCTTCCTTCTCCTCATCTCGTTCCTCTTTTCGGATTTTTCGAGCTTCTTTAGTAAATAAAGAGCTGCGCCGATTCTCACGTTTCATACGACGCGCGTCCATGTAATCGGCGAAGGTCTTGCTCTGCCTTCCTATAACGATTTTAAATTGCTCATAAGTCGTAAAACTGATGAGTAGCCTTCATTAAAAATGCAGGCTGCTATGTACCCTGTAAACTCTACCGTTTCCTTGCCCGAATGAAGATGTTTAGGATCCAATCTCCAAATGGTTGAGTTGAAGCTCTCGTTCGCATTTTGTGTGTGGCCACCCAAACATCGCTCAAGTAAGTCGTCTCTAGAAAAATCTTCATAGATGGGGAGAATATGTTTTATGACATTTCGGAGCCGATTCCTCATCCTTTTCTGGACGTGGCCAACACACTCACTTTTAATTATTGGAAAGTCATTGCCATACGGATTGAGATCTTTAACACCATTAAATGTTTTTGAGTCCCGATCACCAATATAATTACGGTATTTGATGCAGTACTTTTGCATGGAATTCGAAAACATTTCTTTTATCGCGCTCATTTCCATAGTGCGGAGCCTTCATGACTTTTTGCGCAGTGTTCTATATGTTCAGCATACTACTCGGTATATTCGTTGCTGTCTTTATCGAGGTGTTTTTTCTTGTTTACACTATTCACAGTAGCTACTTTTCACAATTAAATCGATGACTTTGCCCGAGTAGTACGCTATAAGCGTTATCACACTGAATAAAGATTTAAAACTTGCGGTGCGCTCGAAAACCGAGGGCAGGTATGTCACGTAAATTCTCTACAACTTCTAAACGGTTTCGAATTTCGCTTTGAAATTTTAAACATGTATTTTTAAGATGTTTTAGAATTATTTTAAGGTAGTTTCAAAAAAATTTTTTTCACATCATTTTACACTGAACGACCCCTTTAAGACAATTATGCCGACTTGTATACAATAGCTTAGTTGTAATCTTCAATTTTAGAGATAATATTAGGTCAATCGGAAAGTTCCGTCCGTTTTCAAACAAAACGTATGGCTTTATTTAAGAAATAAAACAGTACATCAATCAAAGTATTGTCCATCGTCAGCGATGACTTTTCTCATCTTTCGGTCAGCAAGCGAATTTCGCAGCGAAAGAATGTCTCATCTTTGGAGGCTATCCAGTCAGAGACCTATTTTTCGACGTTTTCATAAGAATTGAAGCATTCCTCAGCAAGTGCGTGTGCCATCGACCGAAATAAGTGGTAGTCGGAAGGGGCATAGTCTGGTGAATAATAAGCCGCATGGGGTAACACTTCCCAGCGAAGTGCTTTTAACGTTTCCTTGACAGATTTTATGACGTGAGGCCGAGCGTTGTCATGAAGCAAAATCACTTTATGTTGTCTCGTTTCATATTCTCGTCGTTTTTCGTGCGTTTAGCGACAAGTAACTATAGCTAGAACTGTCGTTAACCAGTAATCTCTAAACGAAGCTTAATAGTTTGTTTTGCCATCTGTCGATAATATTCAGTACATGAAAGTATACGTTTGCATCAACAATATTGCTTTTCACTGCATCGAAAATGTCGAAATTTGAGCCCGGCTTAAACGGATCATTTGTTCTCTGTAGAGATCTCCTGTGACTGTTTGACCACTTTTCAACAGCTCATGGTACAGCACACTCTTTTGATCCCACCAAATACAGAGCATTGCCTTCTTTCCGTGGATATTCCGCTTTGGGGTCGATATTGAGGATTGGCCGGGAGCGCAAATAGTTTTTCGACGTTTGGGATTCTCAAAATAAATCCATTTTTCATCCCCAGTGATGGTATGATGTGAAAACCCCTTTCTTTGTTACCTAGCGAGAAATTTTGCAGGTGGTTTTTCGCCTTTCAGTGTCTCTTGGCTTCAGTTCATATGGGACCCATTTTCCTTCCTTGTAAACCTTCC